TGAGTGCATTGCATTTATTTTATAAAATTAAATTTATATCTATTACATTCAAAACAGAGCAAAATTTATATTAATTTAAATTAATAAGAAAAACAAAAACAAAAATTCTTATTAATATTTTACTTTTAAGTACTATTCTTTAAATCTTTATTTAAATTGTTTTCATACATTTATTTTGATCATACTTTTCTTGTACAACACCTCTCAGATCCTCCCTATATCCCTACCCACTTAATTTTATGTTCTCTCTCTTTCACTGCAAAGACCAAGAAAGAAGAACAAAAAGTTTTAAAGATAAGACAAAACACAAAATAACAAACACAAAAATCTAAACAAAGAACAAATAGATCAAAAAAATAATTCCAAAGCAAAGCAAAATGACTACTCTTTAGCTGAGAAACATATGAACCATACACCCCAAAGTTAATAGATACATAAAAGTAAAAATAAATATAAATCAGTACAATGTTAAAACAAATAATTTATTTTTTTGTTTAAGAGGACACTACAAGAAGACTTGGACTGCATTGTACAATAAAGATCTTTAATTGAAGAGCATTATTCCTTAAAAAAAAATGATATGTGTGTGGCGGGAGCTAGAAAGATGGATCAGAGGTTAAGACCACTGTCTGTTCTTCCAGAGATACTGAGTTTAATTCTCAGCAACCACATGGTGTCTTACAACCATCTATAATAAGATCTGGTGCCCTCTTGTGGCATGCAGTCACGCATGCAGGTAAGAGACTGCATAATAAATAAATAAATAAATAAATAAATAAATAAATAAATAAAGTTTTAAATAATACATGACATAGGATTTCTCTCTCTCCACACAATATTGGTATATTCTAGTATACATATTATTGACTAAATATTAATTGATTTACTTCTTCAAAAGTGTGAAGAGATTGATATTATATACACGAATATTTTGGTTGCTTTCCCTTGTGAACTTAAGTGCCAAACCATTGTAGTTGTCTCTGACAATTGAAAAACTTAAAATTTTATCAAGAACAGTGAGGTTTAAGATACCATCTTCTTTTATTATCTAATATTTAAAATGTAACTCGGGCTGCTCTACTTGTTTGAGTTGTTGTTCTATTAATTCCCTTTTGTATCAAACTGGTGCTAATAAAATCCCCAAGCACATTTTGTTTTGCATCATAAATGTAAAGAGAAGATTTCACAATTGAAAGTTTTACCAACATAAGGAAACATATTTAAAGAAAACTTTTACATTGTCAATTGACTTTTTTCCAATGGATGGAAAAGAATAAACACTTGATTGAAAATATTGGACTCCTAATAAGGTGAAAGTTTGTTGTAATTCTTTATATTTAAAATAATTGTATAGGAATAAGAGATAGATATTATTATATTTTCTGAAACTACTTTTACTTTGAAATTCATAACAGCAGACAAATGCTGCTGAAACAGAATAAGAATGAGCGCTAACTTCTATTCTTGACTACTTCCTATCCTCTCAATAAATAATACTGCCACTTCTCATGTCCAGAATTAAAGGGATTAATATTTTATTATAAACAAGGAAATAATAATATCTTTTGTATCCCCAACTTAACTATAATTTGACTCTACTACAAATTACTGATTTTCCCTAATACTGAGCCAAAATTACTGAATAAAGTAATTGGCATCAAATTGTATCAGAAAACATAGGTAAAAAGTCTAACAGCAAACTTCCCTGATTTCATAGATTTGCAAATACTCTTTTCCCTGCTTATGTGAATTGTTCCTTGTTTTATACGTGATCTTAGCATAGAACAATATAAGGATCAAAGGTGAAGAGCTGAAATTAAGAGTGATTTCATTGAATAATCACATATTTATATAAATCTGCCTGAGATCCTGGAGTCAACGCCAGGGCAATTACAGAACCCCACTAATACACCAATTCATCATACTATAATTTAACTAATCACAGAATTCTTTCTTAGGTCACTTTAGAAGCTAACTGCTAATCATTCTATTTCATTTTGATTCTCTCCATTTTTTGAGAAAAGCAGATAAATTCATTCTCTTCCATAGATGCAATTGCATACATTAAAAATTTCAGGTCTTGCCAGGTGGTGGTTGTACTCATCTTTAATTCTAGCACTTGTGAGACAGAGACAGGATCTCTTAGTTCAAGGTCATCCTAGTCTATAAAGTAAGTTCCAGGACAGCCAGGGTTACACAGAGAAAACCTGTCTCAAAAAAAGAAAAAAATCACGTTCTTTTAAAAAAAATCCGCAGTGTCTGAATTACACATAAAACATGTTATTTAGCAAGTATAATAACTAAAGCTGTATCTTTTGAACAAAAACCAACATTTGTTCCAAATAAGTTAGAAAGAGGAAAAATATAGTAGAGAATAGAGAGTAATTCGTGAGTAATTTGGATGAAAATATTTCAAAGTGACATAATTTGGGAAGAAAGGCTCAGTGCTGACAAGTAAGAGAAATTGCTAATCATAAAAAAACTATCAAAATGGACACCTGAGAATTATTTACTGTTCCTGCTGTTCTTTGTAATGGGTAAAGTGATCCAGACATAACTTAAAGAAGAATTTGTGTGTATTTTTAATTATGTATTTTATTTTTTTGAGTGTAATTTAATTACATCATTTCTTTCTTCATCCACCTTCTTCAAAACCCTCTTTCCTCTTTTTTTCAACTTTATGGCCTCTTTAATTACTAATTTTTGTTTGATCATAATTAGCCAGTAAATGTAGAGAACAAAGCAAAAATGCTATTTAAAAATATGGAAAAGTGAGAGGATTATAAAAAATGATAGACAGAAAAACTGAAGAAATACACTGCAAGGAAAATGTATAATGAATCCAAAACCACATTTAAAAGAGTATAAGAAGTAAATTCAGATTGTCAGGGATCAAATGGAGAAAGAAGGAATGTGGGAAAAACCATAAAGATGATCGAGAGTGAGATAGAATATAAATTTTATTCCAAAATCCTTAGCTCCAGAAACAAGTACACTGCTTCCTGACAGTGCCTATGGAATGAACTCTGAATAATGGGGAGGATTTTGTTGGTTTTGCACATGTATTTTCAGTGCCAATTGTTTTGGGTTTTGTCAGTTGAAACAGCAAATTTAGAAACTGCAAAGAATTAAGGATTCTGTCTTAGTCTACAATAACAATCCCTCATCATTTCAACTGACAGGACTAAAACACTCGTTGCTTTGCAGTACATTTTTTCCTCAGACTTCTCCTATTTAAATTTATTTTGTATAGAAAAGTGTCCACTTGTTACACCTCTATTCTCAGTTACTGGGATCAGCCCAATTTGAGAGTTACTAAAACAAACGCAGGCATGGAAGGGGAGAAGACACGAGGTAGGTTAAAGATGTTAAACTACACAGGATTTCATATGATAGGTAGGAGGGATCAAGGTGAACACAGAGAAAAGCAAAGAAAGGAGGTGCGGCAGGCAATTTAAGTCTTCTCATTATGAATCAAGGAAGGAGTGAGGTATTGGTGTTGTGATGTCACAGTGTAGAAGTAGGATTTTCTGAGAGATTTTTACAGGAAGGGTGTGTTATAAAAGTGATGGTCAACAGGTGTCTAAATAAATAAATGACAAAAAGCTCTTCAATGAATTCAAAGAGAATCAAAGATTTTTCCTCTTTCAGTTTGTTTACACTCACTATGTAAGTAATTGTGCACTTCTCAGTATGTGTTGGTGTCCAAATATGTGGCTGTGCACCTTACAGATTTGTTCCATAGCACCTGGATGCTATTTCTTCATGTTATTAATCACCTATAAGTTTATATATACATGTAGCAATATTAAATGATGGCAAAATTTCTCATGAATTTTCTTTAGGGACTTATCAGTCTGACTTTTCCCCTTTATTTTCTCTCTTCTCTTGCTAATATGGAAAGATTATTGATAATTTATGCAAATCTTAAACAAAAATCTATTTTCTTTGAAATTACTCCTCAAAATTAAATAGCAACATGTCAACATAATCAGCATTTTATAAGAATTCACACTTTTAGTGTACTATTTGTTGATCATAGTATATTTAATAATTGTACACATTTCTGGACTATTTTCATCATATTAAAGATCACATGTATATGTTGTAAACCTCTTTTTCAGCTGTCACCCTATGAATGCCGAATCAATTTACTGCCTCTATAGATGTTTCATTTTGGAGAACTTATTTGAGTTCATTTTGTGACAATCTTCCTTCAAACACAGACTATTTTAGGTGACTTACATTTTAATACTTATCAGCAATTCATTGCTTTTTATTCCCAAATTGCTTACATCTGTAACTGTAGTGTAGTGTGTGGTGCGATGGGTTGCATCCCACTGCCCGGCTAGCTTAACCTCCAAAATAACCACATGGAAATTGTATTAATTAAATCACTGTCTGGCCCATTATATCTATCCTCTTCTTGGCTAACTCTCACATCTTGATTTAACCCATTTTTAATAATCTGTATGTCACCACGAGGTCGGTAGATTTTATACAAGATCCTGAGAACATGGATGGAAGTTAGAATGGGAGACAAAACAAGCATGTGACCGGGGCCAGCAATTACATAATTCAGAAATGAAATAAGAACCTAAAAGGAAGCACATCATAGAAACTGAAGTAGAGAAGCAATTTCAAATACAGTTTTCTCTGTGATGATACAAAGGAGGGTCAAAAATTCAAGCATATTCTAGCAAAAGATTGAGTCACCACTAACAGAATAAATAAGATAACAAAAAGAATGGTCAAAATAGCTGTGAAATGTGGACTATATTCATAAGTTTGCACAAGTTATGTACATGAATGGAATGAAATGAAAATAAATCTATAGAAGAACCTAGTCTTAGTGGGGATTAGAACAAACTGGCTAATGGGACTGCTTTTACCTATGGTGCACTGGTTATGGCAAACATTGCTTTCAAGTAGATTTAAGTTGTGAAACTGAAGAAAAGGCACATGTAACACATATGTTTTATTCTATAGATTAGGAAGTGATGGAGACCAAGAACAGTTCAGTAGTAACAGAATTCATCCTCCTGGGACTGACTCAGTCTCAAGACACTCAACTCCTTGTCTTTGCACTCATTTCAGTTTTCTACCTAATAATTCTTCCTGGAAATTTCCTTATCATTTTCACCATTAGATCGGACCCTGGACTCACAGCCCCACTTTACTTCTTTCTGGGTAACTTGGCCTTTTTGGATGCCTCCTACTCTTTCATTGTAGCTCCCAGGATGCTTGTGGATTTCTTCTGTGAGAAAAAAGTCATTTCTTACAAAAGCTGCATCACTCAGCTCTTTTTCTTGCACTTCCTTGGAGCAGGAGAAATGTTCCTTCTTGTTGTGATGGCCTTTGATCGTTACATCGCCATATGCCGCCCTCTGTACTACTCCACTCTCATGAACCCTAGAGTCTGTTATGCATTATTGTTGGCTCTGTGGCTTGGGGGTTTTGCTCATTCCATTGTACAAGTGGCTCTTATCCTGAACTTGCCCTTTTGTGGCCCAAACCAGCTGGATAACTTTTTCTGTGATGTTCCACAGGTCATTAAGCTAGCCTGCACTGATACCTTTGCAGTGGAGCTCCTGATGGTCTCCAACAGTGGTCTGCTTACCCTCTTGTGCTTCTTGGGACTTCTGGCCTCCTATGCTGTTATCCTTTACCATGTCAAAGGACAATCCTCTGAAGGGAAGAAGAAAGCTGTCTCTACATGCACTACCCACATTATAATTGTGTTTCTCATGTTTGGGCCTGCCATTTTTATATACACCCGTCCCTTCCAGGCTCTTAAAGCTGACAAAGTTGTTTCTCTCTTCCACACAGTCATCTTTCCGTTGATGAATCCTGTGATCTATACTCTTCGCAACCAGGAAGTGAAAAGTTCTATGAGGAAGTTGTTAAATCAGTATGTTGTTTGCTGACTGGATAAATGGAAAAAGAAACAAAAAAGTGAGAAATATTGTTTAAATAGTTTAAACCATGGATTTATGGATGCATCAAATCAATTCTTTAGCAAATGCTGTTATGTAGTTCTAGTTTTCTGATACTACTCTAAGCACATGGATAGACAGATACAATTCTAGGTCTCCAGTGAAGTCAAGTCAAACTACTGAACTAGAAAAAACTCACCAGAATCTGATAGTTTCAGAATGATATTATTATTCTAGCTATAGACCTAAGAGATGACCTTAGCTTTGGATGTAAAGCGTGTTCTTCAGTGAGGGTTAACTGAAATCAAGAGTATTTAGGGAAAACAAAGCAAAATCATAAAACAAGGTAAGCATCATGGATAGCACAGGAACTCAATGATTTGAAAATTTAGGCACACTTGCAACACAGAAATGGATTAGAATAGTTACATCACAGTTAAGGAATGCAGAAGTAGTAGAATTTAAATTAGATGCATAATAACGAAGTATTTAGAGTTTAGAATATTTTAGATGACTTTAATTACTGAAGCCTTAAAAATAATACAATTGAAATATGTAAAGATTAATTAATGTTTTATGTTTGATTTACATCAATTTCTGCATAAAATCTACATATGAGTGATAAAATATAATTAAATGGGATGTTGCCTGCTATGTATTTTTTTCTAAATTTTACTAGTTAGAGAGAAGTGGAGTAATTATAATTTACTGAAATATATCATAAAACAGCTTTTATTTCTAATAGACTGATCTTATAGTAAGAATAGTTTTTTCTATTGCTTGAAAATTTTTATTGGTATTTTTTCTAGCGATTATCTTGAATGTCAATACAATTTTGAACAGTAGAGACATCTTAGCAATAATGATTCTTCCAGTTTATGAACTAAGGGTATTATTCCCTTTTTCTAACATGTTAATTCCAGATTCAAACTCAGATTATTGGGCTTGTTAGTATGTACCTTTACTTGTGGAGAAATATTGCCAGCTAGTGGATCATAATTTTTTATTCATGTTTCATAAATCTCATTGCAGAGTTTTGTTAATTTACAGATATTTAATTCTAATATAAGTAACAGTTTTTCCAAAAGAATACTAATTCCTGAGAGAAAACATAAATTTACATTATCATATATAGTTTCTTTAAAAATATAGTTCAGAGTTTAAAAAAATATATAGTTCCTTTAAAAATATTGTATAGAGTTTCTTTAAAGATATATATAAAAGAAATTACTGTAATATCCAACAGGTTAACATTCAAGTACACATTCAATGAAAATGAAATTAGTATACCAGTTAACTACTATGTCATTCTAACTATAGTACTGCTTAAAATAGCAAGGACATATAAATCACATAGACACACACACATATACATGTTTGCACCCTAAAAATTATACTATATTGTGTGTCAATTAGACAGACTCAGTTGGAACTCAGATGGTAGAGTGTTTTCCTGATATACACACAATACCCTAGAATTAATCTCTATTATTGCAAAAGCTACAATAAAACAGAATAATAATTTAAATATATAAGACTAAGACAGAGTGAGAAATGTTAGACGCATCATTGCATTTTAGAAATAAATATTCAACGTATTTGCTATTTATTTAAACCCTCAATTCCTGATGTTTTTAAAGAAAGTCAAAAACCACGATACAGTTGCCAATGAGATGAAACACAAAACAAGTGCATTTCCAAGGTGCATTATTAGAATATTCCTGTAATTTAGGGCCACGTGAGAGAGAAACTGAGCCAGGAGAACCCCATGGAATTTGTAGCCAGTGGGGCTACATAGCAAGACCCTGTCTCAAAACATGAATTACCAAATAACCATCTTAAATAATTATTCTATGTTCAAAGTTTACTTATTTAACTACATTGGTGAACCACAAAGCTAAAGAGTCATGATCTATGCTGTCTGCTTAAAAGTGTCTTGCAATAGATTTTATTTATTTTATTATGTCTATTGTGTGCACATATGGAGGTAAGAGGGCAGCTTTCAAGAGTTGTTCTTTTCTACCAAGTGGGTCCTGGGGATCCATCTCAAGTGGTGCAACTTGGTGACAAATGCCTTTATCCACTGAGCCATTCTAAGTCTGTCTTAACGCTGTTGAATCTTTGTGAAGTTATGCATAAAATTTGAAATTAGATTTAGGATTCATTGATTCCAAACATTTATTACTTTTTTCATGACTATTTCCCCTTTCCATCAATTTTTACATACTTTTCATTCAGTATAATGAGTTTCTCATTAACAGTTTCACCCATATACATCTTGGCACTTTATTCATACCCATTACCCTACCACATGCCCTATCTTTCTTTATGATTGAAAATTTCATTTCATGTCATGTATTTTGGTCACTGTTTCCTCATCCTCAATACCTCACAGATACTCCCTACCTTTCTACCTACCTTTTCTGCCATTTCTTTCTCTCTTTCCTTAGAAAACAAACAAGCAAACAAAATACTCCTAATAAACCAGAATTTTTTAAAAAGGGAAAAAGATATCATTAATCAAATATTTATTACATATCACTTCCCACTTCACTGCAAAAGACTTTTTTCTTTCTCTGTATTAAAAAAATGATTGATTGCCTAGGAATTTCTTATAGTCCTTGCTAGAGTAAGTATGATATATTTTATTTTTATATTTATTTTACTTGGATAAACATTTATTAAAACTCTTCAGATATATTAGCCAAAATAAGTAAGTTCAAATTTCATCAACCCTCTCATCTCTGAGAGGTTAATTTAATGATGCAATCACTTCCTTTAGAGCTTAGAAGAAAATGTTCTTTCTTGGAAATTCGCATGAGCTCATGAATTTGTGACCTATAGAAAACATTTCTTTGAATCCAAGAAAAATTAACAAGCTCTTTTAATGGTCTCCAGTGGGCAAGTGTATTATTTTATTCTAAATCCAGTTGTCAATTGTATATACAGGGCTACTGGTTTTATGAGTAAATTTTTCATACATTGTTCATTTTGGTTGCTCTTTCCCTTTCGGACCCTCATCTACATCCTTCACCCTCTTCTTTTCTATGCCTTTCACCTCCAGGTTATCACTTTAAACTTTCAGTTTATATATGTTCTGCTATTTTTGGTCCTGTTATGCATTACTGCAATATTCCACTTCTAATGTACCGGTTTCCACTGGTAATTGAAATTAAACACACAAAACAAAATTTTAAGACTACAATACACACATAATAAAGAACAGGTGGTGTCTATTGTCCTGTGCCAAGTTGTGTTCCTCAGTGAATTCTCCAGAGTCAGTCACTCAGTGTATTCCAGAGTCACTCAGTGTATTCCACAATCACTCAATGTATTCCACAGTCACTCAGTGTATTCCAAGAGTTGCTTAGTGTATTCCAGAGTCACTCAGTGTATTCCAGAGTCACTAAGAATATTCCCAGAGTCATTCAGAGGCTTCTAGAGTCATTCAGTGTTTCCCAGAGCTACTCAGTGTATTCCAGAGTCAATCACTCTATTCCCAGAATCACTCAGTGTATTCCAGAGGCACTCAGTGTATTCCACAGTCACTCAGTGTATTCCAGAGTCACTCAGTGTATTCCACAGTCACCCAGTGTATTCCCAGAGTCACTCAGTGTATTCCAGAGTCACTCAGTATATTCCAGAGTCAGTCACTCAGTGTATTCCCAGAGACATGCAGTGTATTCCAAAGTCACTCACGGTACTCCCAGAGTCACACAGTGTATTCCAGAGTCACTCAGTGTATTCCACAGTCACTCATTGTATTAAAGGTCACTCTGTGTATTCCAGAGTCACTCTGTGTATTCCAGAGTCACTCACTGTACTCCCAGGGTCACTCAGTGTATTTCAGAGTCACTCGGTGCATTTCCAGAGTCACTCAGTGTATTCGAGAGTAACTCAGTTTATTCCACAGACACTCAGTGTATTCCCAGAGTCACTCAGTGTATTCCAGAGTCACTCATTGTATTCCAGAGTCACTCAGTGTATTCCACAGTCAGTCACTCAGTGTATTTCCAGAGTCACTCAGTGTATTCCTCAGTCACTCAGTGTATTCCAGAGTCAGTCAGTGTATTCCAGAGTCAGTCACTCAGTGTATTCCAGAGTCCCTCAGTGTATTCCAGAGTCCCTCAGTGTATTCCAAAGTCACTAAGTGTATTTGTAGAGTTAAGCAGTGTATTCCAGAGTCATTTAGTGTATTCCAGAGTCACTCATTGTATTCCCAGGGAAACTCAGTGTATTCTCATAGTTACTCCGTGTATTCCCAGAGTTACTCAGTGTATTCCAGAGTCACTCAGTGTATTCCAGAGTCACTCAGTGTATTCCAGAGTCGCTCAGTGTAATGCTTGTGTCATGTCACTCAGTGTATTTTCCAGTTTTTTCCATTTCCCTGCAAATTTCATAGTTTCATTTTCTTTATATATTAGTAATATCCCATTGGGTTTGTGAACTACATTTACCTTATCCATTTATTAATCCATGTATATATAGATTTATTCTCTTTCATAGGTATAATAAATAAACCTTCTTTAAACATAAATGAGCAAATATCTCCATTGCAGGATTAATTATTTCCAGAAGTAATGCAATTTTGTCACAGGATATTTCTTTTTCTGCTTTTGGAGAAGCATCCATAATTATTTTCAAAGAGGCTTTTTTTTCAGCAGCAGTGAATACAAGTTTCCCATACCTCACCCATGTCAGCATTTTCTGTCATTCATTTCTCTTGAAATGGCTATTCTGATCAGGTTGAGACAAACTCTTAAAGTACTGTGTTTCTCTTAAATGTCTAAGAATGTTTAAATTTCTTGTTTACTACCTACTTTTATTTAAATTCTTGTGTGGGAAAACTATCTGTATTCTGTCAATCATGTATTTTAATAAAACGCTGATTGGCCAGGCAAGAAGTATAGGCGGGTCAACCAGACAGGAAGTAGAGGTGTTGCAATGAGAACAGGAGAATTCTGAGAAGCAGGAAGCTCCCTCCACCATTCCTGCACAGGCCACCGAAGAGACATGATGTAACCTGCCCAGTTGAGAAAGGTACTGAGCCATGTGGCTAAAGTAGATAAGGATAATGGGGTAGCATAAGTTATAAGAGCTAATAAGTAGCCTGACCTAATGGGCCAAACAATTTATAACCTAATGTAGACTCCGTGTGATTTTCTTTGGAACTTGCTGGTTGTGGGGTACTGGGCGGGAG